AGGGATTATTACTAATTCCGGATGTGTGTGGCCCCAGGACTCCTCAAGGAGTGTCCTTTGTCCCCTACGGTGTTGATTGATCACTCAATGGACCAATCAGATCCGTGCTCCTATCGACCTACGCCAATACGTCAGTGTTGTGGGATGAATAGCTAGATGGGTATTAAGAGGCCAGAGTGATTGGAAGGGACTTGCTTAAGCTGGATATCGTAAATATCCTAGAAATAGGCATTATATAAAACATGGCATTGGGACCGCAATTCTTCAATTTTTTATAAATGATGCACTTTATGCATGAGCAAACACTAACAAACTTCTTACTAATTCTCTGTAGGCTTGACTCACCATATACATGCATCTCCAACAGAACAGCTTATTTTGTAGAAAAGTATTGCTCTAATATATGTTTCCTGCCTCAAGAACTTTATTTACAAAGTCAGTTTGTCAGTGATTGTTTCAATACCAAACAGAGTCACAAGTACGATATCTAAGCAAGTGTTAAGCTAACGCGCTTTAAACCTTTACGCATGTGTATGATATGAATCATATGGACATGCAATCATGGAACGTTTTACAAATCTTTAAAATACTCGATCGTATTATTTTAAGACTATATTTGTGAACAACCTAGGAAAATACACCAGAACACGGACATCATATGTCTCGTAGTGATGCGTGAGATTCCGTTTGATCAGGCCATGTTTTAGACGATGCCACACCAGGAAATATTGCACCTGATTTACGAGCCATTACCTGGTTATAAGCTTAATTAAAATGAGAATGAAGCGGCAGGGGATCAGAGTAGAGGTGTTCAAATGCTGTTAGCTTTTCCAGGTGTTAACACCTGTGATATAAAAGTGATGTATGAGATATACGCGAAAATTGTGAATCGTATCCCCCTGGTCTCCCGATTATAATTTTAATTGCAATGAAACGTAATTTTGTAATCTAAATGTTATCCTTTTAGACATATTCAACAAGAAAGTTGTCTGCTAAGTTTATTATGCCTTCGACAAATAATCCAGGTTTCGCATTTTAGCCTACCATTTTGTTAAATCAAGGATTAGATGACGCATCTTAACACTTCAGATCTGATCTGCTGTGGTGACATATTATTATGCTACAGATTTATTTATTAGGAAAAGCAGGTACATATAACACATTTAAGCCTAAAAGTCTGTTAAAAGTAAGTAATCCTGAAAAGCCTACTGGTCTTTTAAGAGGGAGAACAGGTGACACATTGTTAGCCTGCCTACCAGTCTGTTAAGAGGGAGAACAGGTGACACATCGTTAGCCTACTGGTCTTTTAAGAGGGAGAACAGGTGACCCATTGTTAGCCTGCCTACTAGTCTGTTAAGAGGGAGAACAGGTGACACATTGCTAGCCTGCCTACCTACTAGTCTGTTAAGAGGAAGAACAGGTGACACATCGTTAGCCTACTGGTCTTTTAAGAGGGAGAACAGGTGACACATTGTTAGCCTGCCTACCAGTCTGTTAAGAGGGAGAACAGGTGACACATTGCTAGCCTGCCTACCTACTAGTCTGTTAAGAGGGAGAACGGGTGACACATCGTTAGCCTACTAGTCTGTTAAGAGGAAGAACAGGTGACACATCGTTAGCCTACTGGTCTTTTAAGAGGGAGAACAGGTGACACATTGTTAGCCTGCCTATTAGTCTGCTAAGAGGGAAAACAGGTTACACATTGTTAGCCTGCCTACTAGTTTGTTAAGAGGGAGAACAGGTGACACATTGCTAGCCTGCCTACCTACTAGTCGGTTAAGAGGGAGAACAGGTGACACATCGTTAGCCTACTAGTCTGTTAAGAGGGAGAACAGGTGACACATCGTTAGCCTACCGGTCTTTAAAGAGGGAGAACAGGTGACCCATTGTCAGCCTACTAGTCTGTTAAGATGGAGAACAGGTGACACCTTGTTAGCCTACTTGTCTGTTAAGAGGGAGAACAGGTGACACATCGTTAGCCTACTAGTCTGTTAAGAGGAAGCACAGGTGACACATCGTTAGCCTACTAGTCTGTTAAGAGGAAGAACAGGTGACACATTACTAGCCTACCGGTCTTTTAAGAGGGAGAACAGTATCCCATTGTCAGCCTACTAGTCTGTTAAGAGGGAGAACAGGTGACCCATTGTCAGCCTACCGGTCTTTTAAGAGGAAGAGCAGGTGACACATTGTTAGCCTGCCTACTAGTCTGTTAAGAGGGAGAACAGGTGACATCTTGTTAGCCTACTGGTCTGTTAAGAGGGAGAACAGGTGACACATCGTTAGCCTACTAGTCTGTTAAGAGGGAGAACAGGTGACACATTGTTAGCCTACAAGTCTGTTAAGAGGGAGAACAGGTTACACATTGTTAGCCTACCTACTAGTCTGTTAAGAGGGAGAACAGGTGACACATCGTTAGCCTGCCTACTAGTCTGTTAAGAGGGAGACCAGGTGACACATTGCTAGCCTGCCTACTAGTCTGTTAAGATGGAGATCAGGTGACACATTGTTAGCCTGGCTACTAGTCTGTTAATAGGGAGAACAGGTTACACATTGTTAGCCTGCCTACTTGTCTGTTAAGATGGAGAACGGGTGACACATTGTTAGCCTACAAGTCTGTTAAGAGGGAGAACAGGTGACACATTGTTAGCCTGCCTACTAGTCTGTTAATAGGGAGAACAGGTGACACATTGCTAGCCTGCCTACTAGTCTGTTAAGATGGAGAACGGGTGACACATTGTTAGCCTGCCTACTAGTCTGTTAAGATGGAGAACGGGTGACACATTGTTAGCCTGCCTACTAGTCTGTTAAGAGGGAGAACGGGTTACACATTGTTAGCCTGCCTACTAGTCTGTTAAGAGGGAGAACAAGTGACCCATTGTAAGTCTATTAGTCTGTTAAGAGGGAGAACAGGTGACCCATTGTCAGTCTATTAGTCTGTTAAGAGGGAGAACAGGTGACCCATTGTCAGTCTATTAGTCTGTTAAGAGGGAGAACAGGTGACCCATTGTCAGTCTATTAGTCTGTTAAGAGGGAGAACAGGTGACCCATTGTCAGTCTATTAGTCTGTTAAGAGGGAGAACAGGTGACCCATTGTCAGTCTATTAGTCTGTTAAGAGGGAGAACAGGTGACCCATTGTCAGTCTATTAGTCTGTTAAGAGGGAGAACAGGTGACCCATTGTCAGTCTATTAGTCTGTTAAGAGGGAGAACAGGTGACCCATTGTCAGTCTATTAGTCTGTTAAGAGGGAGAACAGGTGACCCATTGTCAGTCTATTAGTCTGTTAAGAGGGAGAACAGGTGACACATTGTCAGCATTTAAGTCTACCTGGCGCAAACAAGGTGTAATCGGTTATAACAAACATATTTATTAGAACACAAGTCACTGGACAGGAAACAAAACCTATATTTTATGGTTGTTTTATAAGTTGCAAACTAGTTATTTTTGCTTCTTTTTTGAGTATATTTTTACACATTTGTTTCGTTTTTTTAAGATATCGATTGTCAAGCGTATGGTATTCGGATAAAAAAGATATCCATACATTGTTTAAAGTTGGATATGTATCACATTACTGTATTTAGCAATGTCATTAAAATCATATCTCTTATTGCTCTCTATTGCTGCTAGTGATAGATTTGAGTTTAAAATATAACATTTGATACTAGCTGTTAAACACTGTTCTTTTATGCTTATATAACTTACAGTTTACTGTTTGAGCATACGCGAACAAATGATTTATTTATTTAAAAAATGTGTGAGACCTACTCGATAGATTTTATCTAAGGGAGAAGAGACTTGGTACGACTGGCGTTACTTTTACCCTTTCCTGTGAGGTATTGTCGAAAGCGTTGTCCATAAGGTTAGCGAGACCGCCACAACTGACTAGACCTCACTGTAGACAATTTGTCATTATCCGTGGACATTTATGACATCCATGAAAGTGCCATATCAATATAGCACTGTTGAATGGTTATAATATAGCCGTGCCACTTCATCTGTCATCGTTGACAATGTTTCGGAGAGTAATTTAATTAAGACGGTCATAGTTTACGGTGGGTTTACAGCCGCATCGTACCGGTGATAGTTTACGCTCGCATCAATGAAATGCTTGTCATAGAGCCTGAATTTAACACCAACGTGAGATCATGTTCGCGCCATAAAACACACCAGAGACCATGATCGCACCCATATTTCCGCGCCATGTCGTGGTAATGCAATAACACTCTGTGTTTCATTGCCGGACTAAAATAACCAAAACAATGAAACGATCTGGGATTACGCCTATACACGTTGATTGTGTTTACAGAAGATTGATTACTCTGAAATAATACGGTTAAACAATATAGGTTTTTTTGAGAAAGGCGTGTAGGATTAATGGTTTATCTACAATTCAAGTCTTATATGTATGTGCGTAATACATATGTTTATGTGTATGTGAGTGGGGTGGACGAGTGTGTATGTGTGCTTTTAGAGTTTCCGATCATTATCTTGAAGAATGATACATTATCGTTTACAGGTATAAATACAAGTACAAATGTATATTCAAGTTCAAGAAATTTAAGTACGGAAATAAAAATGTATTGATTTTGTTTCGCTGAATTCATAATTGGAAATTGAATTCATAATTATGATGTTAAACTCTTAAGATACCTGTGAAAGTTACATGTCTCTCAGTTGGAGCATATTCTTTTTTTTGTATTTCTTTCTACTGACAAACATGTTACCATCAAGCTTTTGCAATACAAATACATGTAAAGAACAATAGAAATAAAGGGAGCGGATACAAATACTTCAATAAGTTATGAATTTGATGATTATACTAACACATAATACACAACAGATGTACTCAGTCTACTCCGAAAGGTTCGGGCAATAGCTATACAGTCACACTATTTTCAACACAAGCTTCATTTATACATATAAAAATGGAGTATGTTTTCTGACACCATTTAATCAAACATTGATCTCGGTAATATCCGCCTGCTGAGTGGCAGTTACTTACTGCGAATCGTTTTCCTCCTCTGTCGTCCGCGCAAAGTCGTCGAACAAGTTATCTCCCCTTTTTCCAAATCCGTGTCCTATACGCATGACTATTCCTTGTCTGAAACCACGTTTCGTTCTTGTGAGAGTTCTTTGAGGAAGTGCATCAATTATGGAGACAGTCACAAAACATAACACTAGTAAGCAACAACAGGTCCGCATACTGGGAATGTCTGGAAAAAAAAAAGAAATAATATAGTGTTAACAGTTCACGTTCATTTATTTCCTTAAGAATACAGTGCAACATAAATTAAACAAGTAAACGACAACTCACATACACACCACTTCCGCACCTACTCCTAGAAGTGTAGAGAGATATCTTGCACTGCTAAAAATAATGTAATCAAAAATAGAATGATATTTGATGATAAGGACTTATGTATTACTGACAAGCACTAGACACAGTTGACTTAATTTAGTACATTTGTTTGTCTTCTACTTGCAATTCTTACATATTTGGCCTAATTAGCAACTTTTTCTTTTCTTTGGACAACAACTTAATAAATGTATACATACTTGTATTTCTGATATAGAAAGGTTTAATGAATGAATTGCGTAAATCGGAATAGAATGGACAATGGTAATAAAACCCTGACCATGGGTTAATATAACCCTATCCCTACAGTAAAATAAACTTTTGCTTTTGGTTAATAAAACCAAATCCCTACAGTCAAAAAACCTTGGCCCTGGGTTAATAAAACCTTATCCCAACGGTAATATACCCTTGTCCCTGGGTTAATATGACCATATCGATCCCTACGGTAAAAAAATCCTGTCCCTAGGCTAAAAATAGTCCTACACTGTCCTCGGGTACCTAAATCCTGTCACCTGGTTATTACACAAATGTCCCTGGGGTAAGTTTTAAGACCTGTCCCTGGGGTAAGTTTTAAGACCTGTCCCTGGGGTACGTTTTGAGACCATGACTTGATGAAAAGCCATAGTCCGATAGGCCTTATAATATACCGCTTGGACGTCGCATACTTTTGAAAATAGAGGACTAGAAATATACACTTGCTGGTTTATCCAGCGTCAGGAGTATACCAATATTAATCTGAAGCCAATAGGGAACTAGCAAGCTCATGCGTGAGATCATGCATGTGAACACGACACTGATTTGAGGTAGTAATTTAACACAAGATATATCACGTGAAACTGGCATGCCCTTGACAGTATTAGTAGGCCAGTTACACTCAGAAGTAAACGAAGTGAGATTCATGTAAATATGACGTCGTCATATAGGGAATGATATTAAAGTTGGTAAGATGGCGCAGTGGATAACGACTTTTACCAAATCAGTCAGGGTTCGATTTCCTAATCGGATGTGAAAAAGAATGGGGTAACCTGTACGACTGCGTGGGTCTCATCCGGGTACTCCGGTTCCCTACCAATTAAGACCTCCGCGCGCTTACATTCGGATTAACAAGAGTGATTAATATAAGTTGTTTAATGGACACTTATGTATTAATCTATGTTATGAGTTGAGTGTGAACCTATACCTTATTATCCGACATTATGGTCACTCATCGGATATGTTTATACAGCTTTGACAATTGTTCAGCCAATATGACTGTGCAATATTTGTCAAAATAATTGTTCGCAATGAAAACACACCACCTTCTAAATTCATAAACAAGATGAGATGTTTATTGAAAAAGACCGTTTGGAGTTGTAACCACGAGTTGATAATGTATGTATGAAAACAAAGAATCTAAGCCATTAGCCTACCAACAATAAAACTGTAAAATACATTAACAAAGTTGATCCGCGGAGAATCATAACTGCAGCAGGTACAAATGGAATCAGAAAATGACAACGAAAGGTTATCTTTCAGGTGTCGTCGTTGTAGCAGAGGTCGCTTATCCTTATGGAACACCTGGTCTTCATCTCCGCGTGCTTTTTTCAACGGTACATATAACATGGTTTTGAGCTCGAATTATGCTTTTCTGATATATTCATATTATCTTATTTTTTCAATCATTTAGTTAGGACTGTTGCATGTTGTCATATTTCTAAAAGCTACATGTGTATCCCTATGATGAAATTTTGGCATATTACCTTTGACTTGTATTGTCATACATATTTTACAGGAAGATGAACATACAAATATGACTACACCTTCAACAATTGGTAACAGATTTAATATTCCAAAAATGAATTAAACTGCACAAGACAGCTATGTTCTCCTTCTAGGACTTAAGGGTGACGTAAGGGTCCAAATAGGTAGAAATTCTAAAAAGTCTGAACTGCTGTTGAAAAAAGAAGGGGAGTTTTGTAAAACCCCTAAATTATGTTAATTTTAGGAATAAGAAGAGACACAAGAATTTAATTAATTAAGTTAATAATTAACTGTCTAAAAAACATGATTACGAAATTCTATATTGACATATACAGATCTGTTTGGTAATAGATTCTGCTGATAAACATAAACAGTTCATCGGAAATTGACAGATTTGTTTGCTGGTGCAATTTACATCCCAGTTTGTTTATTGATCGGATATGCACGATTACTTGCAGCATTGTCTATAGACAGATATATATCTTTCTAAAATTTCATTTTAGATATGGTTGATGAAACGCGACCTGGATTTGTTTAATATTAGGTCGGCCAATCAATACATATTGATCTAACATGGATGGAGTTGTTGTATTATATTACAGTTGTAGTTTTATGTATATCGTCCATATAATTGTCTATTGTAATAAGTTTGTTCTCAATTTTCTCGTTTTTGGACACACTAAATAATTTAGAACGTCATGAATGCTCGTTATATTTGAACTCCTTTACGCAGAAAGAATAATAAACTGTTCCTTATAAACAAATATATCATTCTAAAGAGCAGGAGCAGTATCAATAAATACAATTTATAAAGTTCAAATATAAAATAAATATATGATAACCAACTAGAAAACTGTCTAGATAATTTTATAACATATGTTAACAGAAAACAAATGAACCTTTATATTCCTGACATACCAATGTCTTTTACCTGTACTCCTTTTCTTTCATATTAATATAAAATGTTAGAGACACAAGGGAATGATATTACAATTTTTATTATATTTATTCATAAAACAACATCAGTAGTATGCTTACTGTAGTGGCAGCTGCGAATCTCTCGATCACAACTTTCAAATCGTCTTGTTTTCTTGAATGACCAATTTGCTCTCTACAATCTCAATTGCTTTCCGAGGAAAGTTATTGCCAATCATAACATTTCTTTATAAGAAAACGTTCCGTTATCCTTAATAATAATACTGGTATCTGTGACGGCATTACAAACGTAACCTACCCACTCGCCCAAGAAATAGCCCCATTTTCTATTTAGTCTCTACACAAATCTATATTTGCAGCAATGTGTTTTTTAAGGCATACTGTCATGAAACAGTCAATCTACCGTTGGGTAAATAATTCGTTTTTATCACTTCTGTCCGAGGCACACCAGGAGGCGACGGGCACACTTCCTAGGGTCAATTATATGATGTACAAGGTTATTTGTTTAGCGTGTTCATGTATTCACCAGATGCTTTAAAACGAGCAGTGTCAATTAAAATAGAACAAGAAAATAACATAAAAAGACATCACAACAAAACAGAAAACCTCACTAAACTTCCAAAAGTCAATTATGTACTAACTGTATGGTCTATGGACATACCCTCCGGAGTGACCACAGCCAACAACATACAGAACATCTGTAATGGTATGTATTATGTATGTCCAATGTATCGGTGTGGGGTTCTACAAGAAGACAGTGTCATGTCTTTGACTTAGAAAACGAAGATAATACTGAAGTGCTAACAAATTTTGTTTTTAAAAATCAAGATATGAGCGAGTAGTGTAATAAATAGAAATTACACGAAAGTGCTGACACCGCAGTAATATTATATTGGTACGGACTGTGTACGTTACGTAACAGGTATCTTAAACTGTCTTATCTTCGTTATTATTCTCTTTATTTACTCCAATATGAAGATTACATAAACAGAATTGTTACAAATAAGAATTAATTAACATATAGGACACACGTATCATTATTATAAGGTGTACATAAATATTTTATAAGAGAAAGGAGATGTACATTGTAAAGGGCATCATTGCTTAAATAAATAATCAAATGACTTGTAGTAATTTTGTAACATTTGATACACATGTGTTATTACCCCTAATCTTGTTCATTATTTTCAGATGACATATTATAATTCAAAAATCAAAATCTGGTAAATTATGCAACTACACATTTAGTTGTGTATCCAATATACTAATTAAATGGCACCAAAATTTGTCTCTTCAATAGTTTTGTCACAATGTAAAATAATATGATAATAAACTTTTGTCTAATACACTCAGATATGCATGAACTTTCCTTTTTTATTGATACAAGTTCAGATTTAGGTATATTATAGCATAAGGAAACAACCAGGAGCATTCATATAGCATATCACGCAATATCAATCGAAGTTGTAATACAATACGTACGTGTCAAAAGGACGCACAGCTACAATGTACTCACACCAATTACTCGTCGCCACAGAGGTCGAATCGTCAATCACAATAACACCTCTTATGTGCTGAGGTTAAACTCTTAATTTATATTCCTAACTACTCCCGAACATCTACTCTTTGTCGACAGATTTCTTATTCAGAGCGCAAGCTCCACCTGGGCGTGCATGTTTCAGTACTTACACCGGACCAATAGATAATCTCCTATCTGATCGGATTTGTCCTACGGCTTCGCTATTTAATGCATGAATCAAACCAAATATAATTAGACTATTAATCAACTTCAACACAATCGGTACGAACCGAGGCAACACACAACATTTTCTATTATTAGAAGTTAATAATTCATAAACCACACGAAACCCTGAACTTCAGTCGTCCCGAGGGATTCCGAATGATCCACAGGATAACGTGTGTGTAGTGCCTTGCCACATTATGTCCTCAATGGAACATGCGCTCCATGCAAAATGAAACGAAACCTGCATTATTTAGTTTTCTGGCAGGTCATAACACGCCCCTGATTTTCAAATATGGTGTTGTTAAAACGATTTTATCTTGGAATGGAACAACATAAAAGGCAGAAGTACTGAAAATCTCGGATGTTCTATTTGAATCATTCTTGTCAACCAAAGATGGTTTTCTCATTATATTACTTACAATTTTGAATTATGAAAG